TATTTTTTTCAATAAAATCAAGATTTGAGTAAAAATTTAAAAATTTATTATAAATTAAAGTTTAAAGTTTTGATTTTGACCAAATTATATTCGTGACAACAAAATGAGAAAGTAACGTACCTTTTCCAACATGACCTAACGCTTTACATCGAGCTATGTACATAAATCCTTGATTTGTTCTTAAATTACGAATGGCATATTCCGGAATAGGTTCTTCTTTCTCGAGACAAAGCTTATAAAGCTTTTGCGACGCGTTCTTCAAATCGCCTTTATTAAATGCTATTATCTCTAACATCCTGACACAAAGAGAATATATCAAATTTGATGCTTTTCAGAGCATCGCTCCAGTAAGCTTTACATTATCAAAATCCCTATTTATAACCGATATTATGTATTTTTGCATCATTGAACTTACTCCCCCCTCGAGAGATCTAATAATCCGGACGATGGAAATTTCGAGCCATCCATCTGACGCTCGGCTATGATCCACAATATTTTTGCTGCCAATTCATTTTTGGCGAGGCCTTCGATCGCGGCACACGACATTGCTGACACATTATCCAAACTATGTTTAACAATGTATAAAAAAGCAGCTTGCAATATTTTATACGCCAGACTTATGAGCAAGTAAAAATTATTAAAACAATTGCTAAGAAACCGCAATGAATAATCTGCGGTATTTTTGGGTGAAAAAATAATGCTCAACATGACGACGATATGTGATAATATCCCACGTAATCTCTTTGCACGAGGTATGAAATATTTACCACGAAATCCACACAAGTCACCAGTTATCACATACAAATTCTGTTTCGGCTTATACTCGTATTTGATCGTCTCTTTGCACCGTTTTGCATACTCTTCAAGGATAGTCAATGGCGAACGATGATTCGCAGTTGCTGCAGAACATTTCGCAATGTTGACCTATATTATTTAAACGTTTTCGTCATTATAAAATAGTAGGCATAATTTTAATTTTATGTAAATCAAATTTTTAGATTTTTTCTACTTATAACTGAATAAAAGAATAAAATGAGACTTTAAGAAATATTTATTATTTAGAAGTCTCTTCTGTTTCAAAAAATTTATGTTATGACAATGTCCCAAAAAACTCTATTTTTATCATGTCACAAAAATATGAGAAAAATATTTCAGTACCTCCGAATTTTTAATAACTTTTTTATCATCGATTTTGCCACCATCGCTGATCAGAGGCGAATGGTCATCTATATTTTCGTCGACATTTGGCCGAGTTTCAGAATCATTGTCACCTAGGATAATTAAAGTAACGTTTATCGTTTTATGGTATTAATTGCAAAATGAAATTTTATACCTTCCATGTCGTCGTGCCATTCTCGCAACATATTATCAGTTATTTCCGTCCAGCCTTCCAAACTGTTCGTTTCAGCTATTGCCTTCATCAGCCCTAAATGTCAAATATGATCGTGCATCGAAGCAAGTAGCATTATAAATTTTTTTTTTCACGAGTATCTACGTATTATATTTTTTCTAACCGCTCTACTTTCTCACTCACTCTCTTCCGAATTAACACCGATTGCTTTGTCACTGTTATTCTTTACGTTAGTATCCGATTTCTCCTGGGAACCGTGACATTTATTCATTGAGCTCGTTTTGAAATGTTGAACGACCTCGTCGACTCCTGGAGGTGAATTCAAATGATATTCCTGACAGGGATGTTTCGTCTCGCACTGAATGGATTGTTCGCTACAATGTTGAGACTCTAAATCCGCCTGCTTCCCGTGAATATCGTGCACCACAAATTGCGTTTCAACATTCTCGGCGGCTTCGCGATATTCCGAAATCTTGGAGAAAAGGCGGACATTCTTTTTTTCCTTCTTTTTATTTAAAGTGACGAGCAATAACAGCGTGTAACGATAAAAGCGAAATGTCTGGGAAATCTACATACGTTCGTTTCTTCGGCGAACGATTCTATGTCGGATACCATCGAAATCGTCGCGTTAGATTCCCGGGAATCCGGTGTGTGAAACGAGCTGGACGTGTCTGTAATATCAAATGAGAGCGTCAGATCTCGCGGGCTGGCAGAAGTTAGGCAATATTGCCGCGTTGTAAATTTTACATTCGGGGAATCGTTGAAATTTCCGGACCACACTCGGAATCGCGGACGCGAGAAATTATTACACGTAACAAATTCGATAAATAAATTATATTAACCGAAGGCAAATGTGAACGGGGGCAAATTTAACAAATCGGCTTACGCGACGACGTCAGATTACGATTTTACTTAAATCTTCGAATAAGCACCCTTTAATCGTGAAAACGCTTGATTTATAAAATTGAGCAAACGAAGGATTATCGCGGGGCACAACAATTTGGTCGATAAGTCCGCGGCGCAATTGGAAGGATAAATGGATGTAGGTCGCGCGTACATCATACATTTCTATGAAAGATAAATTTTCCTCGTGAATAAATTATTTGTATGTGTTTCCCCGCCCCCCCTCCCTCCCCGTTCTATCATGTATACCATTAATTTAATAACATGATAATTACAATGAGGTTAGCCGAGTGCACGAATAAATGCACGCTATTTGCATAATTGGATCACGCTATTGTAACCATTAATTTTCAGCTTAAACTCATTATTTTAAGCACGCTAAATCGTAAAACGGCGTTAAGCCGAGTACGAGTAATTTCGAAATTTCGAAATTCGTTCGTTACGCGGGCGCACGCGGGGCGGAAAGATCGGCTTTCCCGAAAAGGAATCGCACCATTTCCCTGGGTGCAGGGCGTCTTGAGCTGCTGCAGCAGATCCTCGGCCCGTTCGATCACCGTTTCCATCTCGCAGAGGAGCGGCGCCGCATTCGGGAACCGCCGGGTGATGGTGTCCCAAATGACCTCGGCATCCTCGACACCGTGTAGCGACCTCGGTGGTTCCAGCTTGCCGTGTATTGCCGTATCGGTGAACGTTGCACTCCCGCCGGACATTCGAGAATCTTCTCGTCTTCTCGCGAGCAGCCTGTCCGCGACGCGATGAATATTTCATCGAGATACCGCCGTGATAAATCTGCCGGGGTTATGGCCGAGCGGTTTTACATTTTTCGTGGACGGAAAATTGACGGATGGAAGACGCGTCGAGAGTACAAACAACGTAGGAGCGCGATGTCATCCTGATCGCGTTGAAACATGCATATCTTCCGCGGTATGAATTTTCCGGGTCGCATGAATAAAATTGAGGCGGAATGCCGCTATTAGTAGCTGGGAAAGACATAGAGACAAAGGCATTTATATTTTGAAGATCCTCAAATAAAATCGTATTCTATCTGTTTCGGTTTACGGCTTTATGAATACTTTGCTGCTTTTATTGCAAAGCGATCGCTTTGCATTTTAAAATTATCCCTTTGTCATGGTAAGTATCACAATATTCTATATAAAGAGATGTAAAAAAAAAAAAGAAATAAAAAGAATTTAACTAATTACTTTTTTATCAGAGACGTTTGTTCTTGCGAGTGAGAAATGATCTCACGTTTCATATACCATTATATGAAATTATATGCTGAAAGAATTTTTTTTTTAGAACAAATGTTGTAATATTTTTATTCATATCTTTCTTCTCAATTATTTCTTCTCGAAGCGTTTCTAAAAGAAATAAAATACACGTGAAGATGTTTCTTTTCATTATTTCCGTTATGATTAGTACTACGCTGTTATTTTTGATGACGTGAATTTGCACGTTAAAGATGATGTATCGCTTCGCAAATTATTTTAGGGACATACGAGAAATCGGACAAAAGTTGCATCCCGGCATAATGCGTATTTATAAACTGAAATTAAGGCTAGAATGTGGATAGCGTTACTTCTCAAGAGATTGTGATTGAGAAAGAGTCCCTACAGTCATGACGAAGTTTGTCCGAGGAGAATCAACCTAAATACGAAAAGTTTATGGAAATTAAAAATGGTGCATAAGAAAAAGGGGGAAATGCGAGATAATCTCTTTTAACAAAAATTGAAATTAATTTTAAATATGTTTTATCTTCATTCTTTTGCTGATATTTTTCAAACTTTCGTAATTTTATAGTGATGCTTCATTTAAGCATTTTTTTTCTCGGAGAATGTCAAGTATTATAAAGTTTATTATTTAGATTATTATTTATCTAAAAAAAGTAAAATAATCTGAAGATCCTTACGTTCCAGCGATGAATAGTCCTTGTTGTTTGCGATCATTGTTTACACAGATTTATACAGGACAGAAATTTTTAGGTCACATGTCTCCGCATAACTCTTTATGAATATACTAACTCGTAGAGAAAGTTGTCTCGGAGAAAGAACGAAACGATCATGAATTGATTAATAATACATTTCCCACGGCTGAGCTGCTGGGTTTCTTTAACGCGATGGTATTTTATTAAAATTATAAACACGGGATTACAATACATCGTGTAACGCGTAATACTTGCTTAGAAACGTCGTTGAATCAAGGCCTCTTTGATTCAAAACTCTTTTTTTACCATCCACTTTTTTTTTAGCTACGTGTGTGCGAGCCAGTTTGTGCTACGGCTATTTTTTTTCCTTTTTTTTTTCTTATTTTTTTTTTTACTTTTTTTTCGTGTACCGTTCTTACATACATGCATAGTACTATAGTTTCGTAATCGTAGGACGCATTCTCGATTGAGCGCGACTCGTAGTCGTATCGTATAAATCCCGCATGACGATCACACGCTCCATAATTTAGGATCTATCCGTCGGAGAAACTAAACGCAACGCTCTCTCTGACTCGTTTCGTGACAACAGGAACGACTTTTCGTGGGTGCTTTTAAAGGCCGGGTCACATCGACATTTCGTGCCGGGAGGATAAACCGGGAAAATAATATAAATCACCTCCCCCTTGTGAATAGAAAACGATGCGTCCCACGATGTTTATTACGTCGGTTTTTCGTCGTCGAGGAACTTGCGCGTTCACTTATTTATTTATTAGATAGATTTATCGTGAACCGCGAGAAAACCACTACCGGACTCGGGGATAAAAAAATTTCATGTGAAATGCCCTCTCTTCCTTTCCTCTCTTTGACTTTGAACTTTTATATAAAGGCAGAATCAGGGAGAATCTCTGTTCGCTGAAAAAAGTCGCTTCGGTTGTCCGTAAAAAAAAAATGACCTCTCTACTTCAGCTTCTCTCTGAGGGCTGGAGGCCAGCGACGGATGGTAGCGCGCTTAAATCAATTTCGAACTTTCGATATGTTGGAGTAAATTTTAACGTATCTTTAATGTGGCAATCGCACGGTTAACACATCGAAGAGCCCGGCGTGTGCACAATCTCGCTTTTGATGCACGCTACGTCATTCGCTGGTACGTTACTCGTTATCGGATTCCATGTCTCATACAGAACGTCATATAGTCGGACAATTTTTCGTATTCGGGTAGAAAGAGAGTTATAAAACTTTATGAATAAATAATAACTAAGCGGCAGTATTCGTAGATAGACGATATCCTTGGGTAGTGAATAATTCACGGAGCAATTCATGAGACTGGCGAAAAATATCTTAACGCGACCGACGTCACTGCAGGAATTTTTAAACTGTAACACAGACGTAGATATATTGTTTTTTTTTTTTTTTTTTTTGTTAAAAATACTGTATCAAAATATCACAATTGACATTAAAAGCATCCAAAATTGCAACTTTAATTTAAGTGTCATTTTCCAAAATTTCGCAATATATAAGCTATTGTCTAAAACGATAGAATAAATAATTTTTTCTCAATTAGAAGTAAAAAAAGATAGAAAAAGTGTATATTATCGATATAAAATTGAATCGCTTCTTCTTTTATTTTAAACGTTTCTGAAAGGAGAATAAAAATAAAATTTTGTGTCATTTTAATTTGATTATGTCTTCTTAGTTATAATATATATATGACAAAGTGTTATTCAATTTTCTTTTTTTCAATGATGAGTCTAATGGCTCACTAACAATACTTTAATCAATTTTTCTCCGATTTTCTCTCAAAATAATGCTAAATCGACCTAGAAATTGTACGCTGGACGCGTTAAGACATCGACCTCGCCAAGATAGATCGCGTTGAAAGGTAATGGTTTACTTTCGGCGATGGTTTTCGAAGGTGCGCATATGCGAACGTGAGGTTCACGCGAGAGATTTATTTCCGATTGTTGATACGCTTACTTCTATCACAGCATACAGACGTACGTTAGACATGCTTTACCATACAATGTCTATAATAGGCTAACGCGTGGAGACTGCGTCCATTTGCTTAACGTTTCGTTTGCTTAACAGGATTACGGTTTACACGGCTCCCGCGGCATCCAATTAGTTACACGTTGAATATCTACGTCCCATTCAGGCCGCGCGTATCGATGCCGAAACCTAGATTATACGAGTAAATTATCTACGTATCGTGTTGCCTTCCGCAAATCACCTATAAAGTTTAAGAAGTCAAAAACCACGAGTACGGATAATATAAAAAAATGATTGTTGGATCCACGTAGATTGTGGCGAGACCCGCATCGTAATGCGCGAACACATCATAGTCGTATGAAATAGAGTCACTAATGTATCGTATAATGTACAATAATATAATGCGCGAAAGGATGACTGTACTAGATTTGCACCAGGTGACAGCGATCAGCTCGTAGAAAGACATTTTATGAAACTGGCATCGATTCGTATTTTTGCTACTTTTTTTTTTTATAAAATTCATTAAAGTCAATAATTTGGTCCTGATCGAAATATTATATATATGTGATATCAGATCATGAATAGCACAACGATCCTGATATTCAATCGAATCTTGATGACAGATTAGTTTTAACAGTTAAACATTTAGTAGTAAAAAACCGTCCAGTGCAGTCACCCTAACATGGAACAATGCGTAACGTCGCGAGAACGTAGTCCAAAACTTACGGTTGGTCCGGCCGTAAGGTCCAACCCCATAGGTGATCTAATAAGAAAGTCTGATTAGACAATTGTGAAGCGCGTGAGTCCGATTGTAACGGTCATCGAGACAGATTTTGTGCGAACGTCAATGACGTCAATTCTCCTTAACTCGTCATCGCTTTTTCTCTTCTCCCGGATTTCGTATCACAAGAATGAAAATGACGTTACCGAGAAATGCGAGTCGTCGGGACGCACGCGATCAAAGAGGTACGAGCGGAAGTACATCCGGCTCTTTTCCCCTGGCACAGTCGCGAAATATCATTCGAATGTCATTCGCGGTTCGCGTAACTCCTCGCATATTCCTCCGGTGTTCTTTCCCGTCGATCGCATCATCATTCACACGTAAGCCATCCCTCGAAATGCTTCCCTCGCGCGATCGCGCTATCGTTCTCCCTTCTTTATTCCTTCATCTCGTTACTTTTATCGTCGTACTCACGTCGTAGACGTTTACGACGTTCGCTCGATAGCCGACAGAAAGTGCACTCAACGGAAACAGCGTATCCTACATCTCTTAGAAGCATTGCGTACGCGT